CTAAGAAAGCCATAGAAAAGAAAAGAAAATGGGACCAAAGAAAAAGATAGTTTTAGTCATTCTAGGCCCTGAAAAGAACAACCCAGAAAGAAAAATCAATTCCATTTCTATTGCCAACGTTTTCTCACGAACCAAACAACAGCAACAGAACAAAAAAGCGGCCAAACCATTTACACATAAAGCCGAAACGAAAAGGAAAAAAAAATTTTAAAATTTAGAAGAAAGAAAAAGATTATTACCACTTCGTACGCAAGCCAAGATCTGTTAATGTTAAAATAGTAGTTGGTGTTGTAAGCTTAGATCTGCTTCTGCTATTTCTCGCAACTGAAGATTCGCTTTACTTTGCGTTGCAGCTTCTCCTATGTTTGGTGAAAACTTGCAAAGATCCCACCTTTATATTAATGGAGAGTGTTTATTGTATGTGTAGTAAAATTTTAAAAGAGTGCCTCCAAGAAGATGGTATTTGCGCAGTGCGAATTTAAATATTACTAATTACACCAAATATTTACTTTTTTTGCACACATACCCATGGGGTTGGTAAGGTTAGAGATAACTACTCGAGTAGTGTAATTTTTTACGGTCCTTATAATTTGGATTAATTGTAAAAAACTCTGATAAAGTTTGAATTTATTTAAAAAAACTCTAGTCCCTATCATTAGTAGCCCTTTTTAGTATTATTTTTTTTTCTTTTTAAATAAATATATTTTGATAATTTATTAATCCCTAATGCTATAAATAACGCAATACTTATTTTATGTCATTTTCTTCTTCTTTTTTTGTTTTGTTAATATCTTTTTATTTTTTGGTGATTGAGAGTGTCCGAACCAGTTTGTGTGCATCTCAACTAATCCTCTAAAGTCTTGAAGTTGACGACCAGGTAAACCCCTCAGTGGTCACCACTATTAGGACCCCTCAACTAATTTTTCAGGGTCTTGAAGTTGACGACTAAGTAAACCCTTTAGTGATCATCGCTATTAGTGCCTGTGGACACTTGAACTCAAAAGCTCGCGAAGCTTTTTTTGCTCTTTTACCGTGGGTACCCACTAATGGTTATTTTTTTAATATCTTTCCATCACGTTTCCTCCATAGTCCAAATTGAATCATAATTTATAACCCAAACTATAATGATGATGGGTTTTATCTTTTTATGGGAAAATGTTAGAAAAATAAAATTTTTACAAAATTATAACTTTAAAAAGGACAAAAAGATGCTAGAGATGGTGAGATTTAACATTTTGTAAGGATAAAAATGGTATTGGATAAGTACATAATATTTTATAATTTTATATTATCTTAAAAGTTTTAGTTTAAAAAATACCCTTATATTAAAATAATAATTAAAAAAAATTGTAATGATTAAAAAAGAAAAAGGGAAGGGGGGGAGAATGTATTAGGGTTTTCGCCAGTAGCGGGTCCAGGAATTTCACTTGATGGGGGCAAAAAATAAACAAAAAAAATTTGTAAGGGCAAAATGTCAAAGTCTTATAGGGGGTAAAATACAACTAAATATAAATATTTATACCATCGAAGTTTTTTAAAGTTTGAGTGGGGGCCATGGTCCCCACTCGTCATTAAGTAAATCTGCCACTGGTTTTCGCTCATGTCAGATAGTAGCATACAACCTCAAGGGATGGCCTGACAGTTAAAGAGATTTGTTTACTTTCCTGAGTTCTTGGGTTCAAACCTTGAGGCTACTTATCACCATAACATTATAGATTATCTAGTCCTTTAGATTTATAGGGTATTCAATGAATCTTGGAGATTAATTGAGATACACGTAAATTGATCCGAATACCCTGATTATTATATATATTCGCGCCATACATCTCATAAACAGATAGTTCAGAGGGCAATTCCTCTATAGATGCATTAATCAGTGTACCATTGCCTTTGGAACTTTTGTTTCACTAGCCAAGCTTTTGTCTCTCTAATTTGCATAGGTATAAGGTAAAGGTCCTAAGTCTTTCACCGCTACTTTGCACCTAGTTTGTCACCAACGGCGGTGGCCTACCATAAGTGGCTAATTTTTATTTTTTTATTTTTTATTTATTTTTTTTTTATACCTTTCAATTTTTACTTATTTTTTAGTTTGGTTTTTTTATTATTTCCGGTTTTTTATTTTTTAAATTCCTTGGTTTAATTAAATTATTTTTTAATTTAGCTGGTTTTTTTTTTTCACTTTTTCTTATAGTTGTATTTTTTTAAATATATTTTCTGTAAATATTAGTATATAGATATTTAAGGGTGCATTTGGTTTATTATTTTGGATATGATTTTGGGAATAATATTGGGTAGTTGAATAGGAGAGTATTACGAGGTAAAATTTAAAAATTTATAAAAAAAACCCATAGGTTTGCTAATTTAATTAAACACCCCAACATATAAAATGACAAAAACACCCCACCACCCGCAGTGTCAGATTCCTGCCACCACTGCCAGAATTTAGCCGAAAAATTGTGTTACGACACAGACCGGTCAGATCTGTGTCGTAACGTGTCGATATGACATTTTCCAGCCAGATCTACCATGTATCTGGCCGAAAAAGGCCAGACGTGGCCGTCGACAGCCGAAAAAGGCCAAAGAAGTCCATTTTTGGCCATCAGCGATAACCAAAGATATGGCCGTCGTTGACCGTCAACGACTACTATTCAGTGAACTACCGGCAAGTTCTGGTCGTGGTGTAGGTCGTTTTACATATTCCGGTTACCACCGACGGTGGTTGCCGGAATCTGGCAAATATGGGTTGATGGAGGTGTTTTTGTTAATTTTTAAACTTTTTTTGTGGGGGTATTTAATGAAATTAATAAACCTAAGTGGTCTAAAAGTAATTAAAAAAATATAGTAATATTTCTGGAATAATGTGCCAAACAATATTTGGAGAATAGAATTGGGAATATGGGTAGAAATAGGGAGGAAACGCACCCTAAATCTTTTAATTATATTCGTTAGATTTAACGGTAACAAACAAATGTTTTGTCCCTTTTAAGTTATTTTAAAACTTGTGTCTTTTTTTTAATTTCACAAAATATTATTTTCAAATCGAAAATTTCCCAAAACTTAAAACAATAATTAGTATATTAATTAAATACTATTTAAAGAAATTTACACATGGCAACTTATTATTTAAAATTTATTTATGTGTTTTACATGAAGATGACAAAAATATCACAAACTCTCAAATTAATGGTGCTCAATTAATGTCAATTTCAGCTACCTTATTATTTGTGTATAACTTCAAAGAAGAAGAAGACTTTGATATATAAGATTTGATGCAGGGAGAGTAGATTAAGAATAATAATACTTATTCCAAATTTCATATCTCAAATGATTCGTCACCTTATATGGTTTTGAGATATTATTTAATGGATCATTATTTTTATTTACGTGTCAATATAATATATGATGACATTTATGTTGAGACGTGAGATTTGGGGAGAAAAACATTTTCCCACCCAAGGTTTGGTGAAACGACACTATCCACACTATCCCACACACCAAGTTTTAAAACGATACTTTTCCACTCATCCATTCATTAGTAAAATATGTTAACTGACATAATCTAGTAAGTATAAAGAAGAAAATACCCTTATTGTTTGAATCCAAATTCAAATCCATACCCAACGATTCGGTCGGAATCACATCCAGTGATTATGGTAGAATTGCACTTGGTCAGGCACGAATTAGTCAAAATTGCACCCAGCCTTCTCACACACCTAGCCTTCTCACACAAAATCTCCACTTTTATCCAAATCAACACACAACAACATCATCCAAATAAAAGAAAAATTAAAAAACTAGAAGAAAAAAATAGTTGGCCGAAATTGCACCTAACAATTTCAGTAGATTCGCACCTGGCGTGTGCAATTTCGGCCTAATCACACCTGACCAAATGCGAATTAGTCGGAATCACACCTAGCCTTCTCACCACAATCTTCTCACACAAATCAATGCACAAAATCTTCTCACACCAATTGGCTGGAATCGCACCCTACCAAATCAACACAAATCTGGTGCAATTTCGTTTTCACCATCCCTTCTTCAATCCCATCAATTTCCCCAACAATTAAATACACAAAAAACAACCCATTATCCCAAATAACAACAATATGACACCAAATCAAGGTTTGAATTTGGTCATATCGCACCAAGCTGATTGCGATTCTGGCCAATTGGTGGGGTGAAGGATTTTGGGGCGTTGGGGTGGGGAAGAAAGCAAAAGGGTTTGAATTCAAGGTTTCTATTTTTTTTCTTCCCTAAGTTTATATACAGGGGATAAAATGACATAATTAACTTTGACTATTTTTTAAATTTACCATTATGTCCTTCTTCAATTAAAGTTAACAAACAATGAGTGGGAAAATATCGTTTTGAAACTCGGTAGTGTGGGAAAGGGTTGTTTCACCAAACGTTGGGTGGAAAATGTTGTTCTCCCTGAAATTTGAGATAAATTTTGGGATAAGTAATATATTGATATTAGATCATTAATTAATAAAAAATTAATGTTAATTTTATTCGAAAGGCAAAAGAGTTCCCATATTTAGACATTAATTATCAATAACTAACAGCAGTGTATCCCTAGCCCTTTCTCTCACTTAACTCCAATTTTCTTCATTATAAAACAAAGACCAGAAGCTTTCAACAGTACCTATCCATGCATGGAATAATCTGCAGAGACACGCCCAGAAAATTTAATTAATTTATAAAGGGTTACATTAATTCAAACCAAAAACAGCTCATTACCCGAATGAGCAAGAAAGAGTTTTGACCATTTTCATGAATTATTCCCCCCTAGCTATCTTCTACCTGCTCTCTCACTTTACCTTCTCTCTCGGTTTCTAACAAAACCATAGCTACTTATCTTTTATTATTTCTTATCTACCAGACCAAATTCATTTTACTTAATTAACCATTCTTTTTCCAGAACACTCAACCACTCAACTATACTCTTCACAAATAATATACCTATCACCAAACAGAGAAAAAATGCATTATTGAAGAAAAAAAAATGCATGCGGAGTTGGAAGCAGAGCGAGAACATTATGATGATGATCATTCAGCTCTTTCAACTTCCTCTTCGTTTTCTTCTACTTCTTCCTCTTGCAGTGTCCCTTTCTCTTTCTCTCCGGCTCTAACAGCGGGACCGCCATGGAGACACGTGGAGCCTAATGGGGATCAGGATCACTACTCTTCAGTGGCCGGGTTCGGTGTCACTGGACTCACTTTTACAGAGCTCGACTGGACCACCGTTGAACACCGTTTCGACCGCCTTGCTTCAACCCGGAATGTGCCTGAACCCGTGGTCAAATGGTCGGATTTTGGTTACTGCGTAGGTAAGCCAGAGTGTCAGGAAATGAATGTTAAATTGTCGGCACAAAAGCGGCACCGTCTTCCAGGGGAATGTAACGTATGCCTCAAGAAGATCAGCCTGATTTTTCTTGACACCTTGTCATCTAAAACATTACAATATGAATTTTTTTTATTAATAAATGTAAATTAAATAGCATGTAATTTTTATTCATGTTGCAGGGATACAAAGATCACCAGAAATTTCTAATGAAATTCTGAAGGCATTAAGAGGAAGAAGAGAGTGTAAAGTTGATATTACAAAGAAGGAACTTCATCGCTACTGGCTTCGCATGACTGACCCTTCTATAAACTATAGAATACAATTATTCTTTGACATGTAATTAATCACCATGGACCTCCATTTTGTTTTATAATTTGAATCATTTTGTTAAATCTTTTCTGATTGAAGTTTAATATTATGCTTCAGGATTGATAGAAATATGGATGGAAGAATCACAGAAGTGGATATTAAGCAGGTTGGTTGAACAAATCCTGAAAATGTTTGTTTCTTTCATTGATGCTAATAACTCTGTTGGCAAAATTTTGCAGACAATTTTGATGAGTGCTACTGCAAATAAGTTGTCAGTAACTCATGAGGAAGCAGAAGAACATGCCGGTTTAGTTATGGAAGCACTTGACACTCATCATCATAATCAAGGCTATCTTCAGGTGTCGGATTTACACTTCATTATAATGAAATGAATTTCCCTGAGCGGATTAATTGATAAGGTAATTAAATGAACCATTTTGCAGGCACCACAGCTGGAAAGTTTGTTCGAACTAAGTATGCCACAAGGCTCATCCTATGCTAGTAATGTTCAGCATCAGAATGGCTTGTATCAAGAACCAATTTCAAGAGCTGAAATCATGTTTCGATCTTACTGGCGCCGCGGATGGATAATCTTGTTCTGGTTGATGATTTGCGTTGCACTTTTTGCCTGGAAATTCATTCAATATAGTCACAGAACAGCATTCCAAGTCATGGGTTACTGCCTCTCCACTGCAAAAGGAGCTGCAGAAACCTTAAAATTCAACATGGCTATAATTTTGCTCCCTGTTTGCCGGAATTCCATCACCTGGCTCCGCAAGAACCGTCGCATAAGCTCAGTTATTCCGTTTAATGACAACATCAACTTCCACAAGGTAATGTAGCTTGTAAATTGTCCTAGTGAAGAGTTTTTTGCTTGCATTGACATCAATTTTGTTTGCTCTTTTTTTGGGTATAGTTGATTGCAGGAGGAATAGTAGTGGGTGTGATTTTACATGGGGGAACACATCTGGCTTGTGATTTCCCAAGAATCAGTGGCTCTGACAGCTCAATTTTCCGGCAAACTATAGCAGCGAGTTTCGGGTACCATCAGCCGTCATACATCCAGATTTTGGCCACAACAGAGGTTGCAACAGGAATTGCTATGGTTGTCCTAATGAGCATTGCATTTTCACTGGCAACAAAATGGCCTCGCCGGCAGTCACCTTCACTACCAAGATCTGTCAGACAAGTCACTGGATACAATACATTTTGGTACTCTCACCACCTCTTCATTTTTGTGTATGCCTTGCTCATTGTTCACTCCATGTTCCTGTTTCTAACCAGCAATGTAACCGAGAAAACGGTGAGCCTGCATCTGCCAACTTCCATGTTTGCAGCATCAAATTGATTGAGTCATACTGATTATGATTAAAAATTTTATGGAAAAATCTTCTTGCGTAGACGTGGATTTACATTGCGATTCCAGTTTTACTGTATGCTGGGGAACGGATTTTTCGAGCTGTAAGATCAAGATTTTATGAGATTGAAGTCTTGAAGGTGTTTTATCATTACAAACTATTATAAGAAGAAAGAGTTCCGATAAAAAAATTCATATTTGACACTACGAAATTCTAAAATCTTTGCATATCCAGGTAAGTTTTTATCCAGGAAAAGTGTTGTCTCTCAAATTGAACAAACCAAAAGGGTTCAATCACAAGGGTGGGATGTATACATTTCTTCAGTGCCCGCAAATTTCACCCTTTGAATGGTAATTAACCTGACAAACCAAACTTTTTTTGATGATCATAAAGTCTAAACTCTAATTAGATTTATAAATTTTGTTGCTTTTCTCTTCCTTTTTCAGGCACCCATTTTCACTTACTTCTGGACCAGCAGACGATCACTTAAGTGTACATATCAGAGCTCTTGGAGACTGGAGTTATCAGCTATACAGTCTCTTCCAAGAGGTAAAATTTGGTTAAGGGAAGAACCGCATTCCGATTTTTCGAACCCCACATATTAGTTGAGAATCAACATTTTTTTTTTTTTTTTTTTATCAGGCAGTCTTAACTGGAGCAAAGGAGTTACCAAAAATTTACATTGATGGACCATATGGTGCTGCATCTCAAGACTACATCAAGTATGACATTGTCATACTCATCGGCCTTGGCATCGGAGCCACACCTTTCATTAGCATCCTCAAAGATATAGCTAATGGTCTCCAGAACACACAGCTTGATCAAGTAAAATTCTTGTTTCAGTATGCATCAAAAAGGTCAGAAGGAAACTGCCCTGTATATTGTAGCCATTTGACAAAGTATCTGTTGGAGTTTATGCAGGTTTGTAGCAGCCAAAAGGGTCCATTAAAAGCCTATCTTTACTGGGTTACAAGAGAGCAAAGCTCCTTTGACTGGTTTAGAGATATCATGAAAGAAATATCAAAACCAAACCTGAAGCAGGTACATGTTCAGATAAGCAGATACCCTTGTGAATTTCACCGCAAAATGTGATAATTGTAACCATTTTGTTTGCTCTGGCTGTTTGTGTAGTCTGTCATAGAGATACACAACTTTTTAACCAGCATTTACCAGGAGGGCAACGTGCGGTCAGCTTTGATAAGTATAATTCAAGCTTTGTATTATCGCAAAACTGGAATCGACATTGTCTCCAGAACACCAGTAAGTGTCGTTCTAGTTCATAGTTTACCAGTAGTAATGCTCATTATGGCAAAATTGATAACAGCATTTCTGGGGAAAGTCACCTTAATATTAGAAAATTTGATGTCTTCATTATGTAAAACAAGCATTATAATCTGTGGAGCTTTCAGGTACGCACACATTTTGCTCGACCAAATTGGTTAAATGTCTTCTCAAAATTGGCACGAAAGCATAGAGGAGCACGGATTGGTGAGATTTCAATAAATTTTCTTTTATACATCTTAATAGGATCAAGAAATTCAACATTCAGTTTTTCACCATATCAAAAATTCCTATATTGAAATTTCAATTAACCTCTTTGAAAAACCTAAAACTTAATCCAAAAGTGACATAAAAGGAGAATTTGTGATGAGGTTTAGATGATATGGTTACATACACATATCAAACAGTTTCTGCCAACACCGGTATCAACATGGGTGAGTCTTGAGGTTTCTCTTTATCAACTTTCTTTTAAAAATAATAACAACAATAATTTTTTTTTTTTTTTTTTTTTTGGTGACAATTGCATACTTAAAATGTGGTTTTGGTTGTGATAGGGGTATTCTACTGTGGACCATCAGGATTGGCAAGAGAGTTGGCGAGGTTGTGCACCAAATTCTCAACCAAAACCAATACAAGATTTGTGTTTCACAAAGAGAATTATTAGATGTATTTTTCTATTACTGATGCTTTACTGCCAACTCCATATTAGGAAATGGCATAACTACCTCTTAGCTTTTTTTGTACCTACTATCATCCCTCTTTTTCTTTATAGTGTTTGTGATGAAAGCATTGAGAAGTAACTTCTTCTTGCTTCTCCAGGCAAACCAAATTCAATTAGCAAACAAATCTTCAGTTAGAAATTGTACTATATTCTCATTTCATAGCTTTAAACAATTGATGATGCAATACTTACAGACTTCTATATCCTGGCTAAAAGTCAGTTACCAAATTTTGCCTCTTTCTGTCCCTGGGAATTGGTATTACTGTTAGTTAAATGGTATACTTCCATTGATATATGATACCCTAGAAATATTACTGAAATGTGGCATCCAATCACTCACACCAAGCAATTGAAATTGCCTACGATAAAACCTAATATTGAATCAACCTGATAACCCCTTGCTAGCATGATGAGGTTCTATTTTGCAAGGCATTAAGCCAGCTAAGCGATAAGCAATTAGTAACAACACTACAATATAAAGGGCAGTGATACGGGTCCTTTTCTCTGATACATATTAAATAGTTCTCTTCGACTGCCATTCTAAAAGTATAGCTACATAATAGCAATCACGGAATTTTACCTCTGGCCTAAAATCTTTTATATCCAAATCTTCATATTGGCACACCTATGGTCAATTCCACTGCACTCAATTCTTTAGCTAAAGCAATCTCTTAATTTATTCCACGAACTAACACCTAAATTGTGTGAAAAGAAAAGGTTTCATTGAAACATTACCGTGCAACATTGTGAAGTCCTCAACTCAACCCATTTCTTTGAAGTGCAAGGCACAAAATTCAAGAAAAAATCAATTGGAACAGCCATAAAATTAACTTTTAATTCCCCAAAATGAAGTCTTGACACTGGAGTGATTATTGGATTAGCTCAAAAAAAAAAATACCGGAAAAAATACCACTGTGAAGTTCTGATAAAGCCTCCACCAAGAACTTATTTCGTCACCTTCAGATAACAAGCAGAACCATTTCTGCGATTTAACCTTCCAGTGCTGATGCTCCAGATATAATTTCAATCAATTCAGTGGTGATAGATGCTTGACGAGTTCTGTTACAAAAAATTCACCAATATTAAGTAGCATAGATCAACTATCAAATATTCAGTCCTAATCCATAATATAAAAGGGACTAAAAGTTACAGGCTGTAGGATAATAATCCTGTTAACATATGAGAGAGAGAGACCTGTTATAAGTAAGAGTGAGACGATCAAGCATTTCACCGGCATTTCTGCTTGAGCTGTCCATGGCAGACATTCTTGCTCCTTGCTCACTGCAAGCATTCTCCAAGACAGCATTGAACATAACCTAACCCAAAAAAAGAAAAAAAAGCATTTTTTTCTTGTTTAATTGGAAAATCATTATAAACCTGAGGCAGATATAGAAGTAACCATTTCAAAGCTACAGACAGAATCACTTCAAAGGTATGCAGTACCAATAGAAGGAAACATATAATATAAAGATCCACCACAGATTTAGCTGCTGAAAAAATGTGCAAGTCAGTAACCAAAAATTTATAGGGAAACATCAATTTCTCGAACCAAACTCAGGCACAATTTGATAGAACTGCCAGATATGACATCCACATAACTAAGCACTGCTCACTGAAGTGTTTTTACATTCCACATAAGGTTCTTTCAGTAAGTGGGGGAAGGTTTTTCCTTTATTACCCTGTTAAGAGTCAAATCCGGTAAAATTCTGTTTTTATATGGTTAAACCTAATATTGATTCAGTGCAAGGGTTCTGAAATTTTTAACCCACCACCAATTGAGTGAATCGGGGCATAAGAATCCCGACATCAACAACCCTTTGTTTTTTTTTTAATAACATTATGGGGCTAGGGTATTACACAATCCCTAAAAAATCACAAAATATTGAAACCAATTGTTATGATTTCTTCATTCTGCAAAATGATTTGACGGAAACAGTTGGTTATATCACAGTTCCAGCAACAATAAAGCTTGAAATAGAAAAAAACAGCAGTAATACTACCAAAAAGAACAGTCTCAATATTGCTCATACATAATTCTCTGTATAGAACCAGGGACAGCAAAATTTTTAATTGAACCAGCATTACTTACGCAAGAAAACTGGAACTCAGCCAGATTTTGAAGTATTTCACCCTTTGTTTCTCCACCTTCAATTTCATAGGCATCTAGATCACCAATCTGTCCCCCAGATTCAGACTCTCTCTCCACAACCTATATTAGTTGTCATAAAATAACATCAAGAAGGGAAAAGCTGAATACGATCATAAAAAATAATTAAACAAATGTAGAATTATTAGGATTAAGCGTTATAGTCACCTCAGGAGATAAGACAGTTGCCATTGTTGGCAGAAATGAGACCACAGATTGGAACTTGTTGAAGATAATCCTCAAAGCATCAAACTCCACATTCTTTAAGATGTCATCTGCAAGAACAGAAACCTGAGGAAAAAATGTGATCAGAGCTTAGGGTAATCAACAAAATTCTCTAGAATTTTGCAAACAAAAACAGCACTAACTAAATACAGTAAGCTTTGGGACAAATTTAGTGAGGATGGGAACCCTGCCACCAATTAACGCATAGGCTTAAATCAAGGGATTCAAAAAGATGTGAGACATACCAGAAGCCAATGTTAAAATTTGTCACACAAGAATAATTCTTTACTCATCATGTTAAGGTGAAAACACATTGACTAACCTGGGTATAATTCAGAGGATTTTTCTGCAACTCAGTTATGCTGATCTCAATGTCCTGCTTTGAGTCACGTATTAATATTGCTTTTGCCTTCTCTCCCAAGATAACATATTTAGTTTCTTTGTCAGGACCTGCAGAGGAGAAAAAGGTTTAACTCATAAGAAACATAAGAAATAAAAATCCACAAAAACAGAATCAATCGTTAGAAAAATATACCAGAAACCAATTTGTGCAGAGCCTTGCTTGTCTTGACTGATGTTGAGTTGATACCACCACATAGACCTTTGTCAGAAGAAATGGTCACGATAACATTCTTCTTAACATCAACACCTACAGTTAAACCGAAAGAAAAATATAATGAGGGAAACAGAAAAACAAATAAAGTAATAGAAAGTAAAAAAGAATAAATAAAAGATTGGAGTATTGGACAGGTTAGAAAAGAGAAACTGTTAGCAAAGATGTTATAAATCATGCAGAACACAGTGATTAAGAAAATGTTAATGGGAATGACCAGACTAAAACCATTTAAATTTGAATTTGAAAATTCATGAGAGAATTTATTTTAGCCTGTTCTGTTAGTCTACGCTGACAATAGTAATAAATGTTCTCTATCAACTCTTAATTACATGGTGCAACCAACTTGGATTTGAATATCAAGCTGCCATCAAAGAGAGCCTGCAAAGCATGCCCAGATGCACTGCCTAGAGTTCAAATAGCTAAACATGCAAATAGGACCATCCATTTTACAGATTACTCCAGAAGGAAATAGCATGACCAGTCATTGGAGACGTCATTTAAAAGTAGTGTAGAACCCGTAAAAAAAGTACAACCTTCTTGTAGTTGTCTGTATGATGTCATATGAAATGGAAGAAAGAATGAATGCAGTGCATAATAGAATGAGAAAAGTAATGGTTGACATGAGATGTGTCCAGACCAATAAGTTTGACAGATAACATATCAGATCAAAACTTAAATGACCTTAAAATATAAACAAACTTGGGCTACAAACATACTGGGAGTGTCACCAAGAAGTGCAGTAAATGGCTGCCACAGGCCACGGGAATTTTCAGCTCTTACTTGAATTGCTCTTAACTTTGAGGCTGCAACCATCTTCATAGCCTTTGTAATTTTCTGAATATTCTTGACACTCTTCATCCGGTTTCTAACTGCATCAGTGATATCACAACAACTATTAACAAACATCTACCAGGACTCACGTTGCCAAAATGCAGCAAAGGTGGACATCAAACCTGAGAAGTACAACAGTTAATAACAAACAAGGAGCCTTACCCACTTGAGTTGAAATATTACGAAATCCCGTAGGGCCATCCTCCCTGCCCATTCAAGCAAATTTATCAGTAAATCACATAAAAAACAGAAACAGAACAATTCGTTTAATGCAGGAACACAAGCATTCAATAACATTTAATAAGAAACAAAAACCATTATTTGAAGTGCACACACTGATACTCCTCAAATTTAAATTAAACATGCTATATTCTATGCTTCATATTTTCAGCACACATTCGTTCCATAACTCGTGTTGGTACATTTGGTTAAGCTCCTTGGGCAGTCTACCTTTTCAGTTCCAATTGTACCCACATTCAGCACAACTATTTATACATGCTCATTCCACTCCCATCAAAACTACAAAACACTCCACAAAAAGCGCATAAACAGAAACTAACAAAATAGAATAACTAAACTTGATTCATTCAGCTCTGAAAACCAAGAAACTCGTAACTCCCAAACCAAGAAAACCCACTCACATTTAGTACAAAACAATTTATCACAGATGACTAAAAGATTCCTTCCTAAAAAGTATTCCAAAAGTATTGTATGTCACAAAACAATATAAAACTAAAAATTTCACTCAACCGAGATTTAATAAAAAGAAAATGAAAATAATAGATATTACATTTTGCCTCAATGTAAAAAAATTTACAATTAAAAAAAAAAAAAAAAAAAAAAACCTAAAATACAAATATGAAGAACTTTCAGTGTACTGATGATCGACAAGGCAAATAACAAGTGAAATTTTTAAATAAATAGAGAAATGATATGAGAAGTAAATAGGGATCGGAGATGAAGATATTGATCTAGTGAAATCGTACTCAGAGAAGAGAGAGGGTCGAACGGCGGTGATGGGACGGGGAGAGAGGAGAGGGTTGGCGAAACGCCGGCCTTCGCGTCTGAGAGCAGCCATGGCCATTTTGGTGATGATCGGTTGCGAGAAACCCTAGATTAATATTCGAATGCTATAGATCGATAGCTATATGTGTGCGAGGGTTGTCCGAGCTCAGGTTGGGGACTAGACTTGGCAATATCGGGGGTTTACAAAATCAAATTGACGGAGATAACTAAACGGCGTCGTTTGCGTCCTCAACATACGACGTCGTTTCAGTAGTATTTTGATATAATTACCATGACCTACCCTCACTCTGTAGATTTAACACGAGTAAGCGACTTTTTCACATCAATTATGGTTGAATGATACTTTTCTAATTCCAGACTCTTAAAATACCATTTTTCACTCGAAAACATTTAATGACACTTTTCAGATTCCACTAATCATTGATCGATTCTAACATTGTTGCAATCTATACCATATCACTCTCTTCCTTAAACATCATCACAAAAACCCTCAATCTACTTTATCAACCCACAATTGTCGATAATCAAGCAATTAAGGTTTCCGTAATCGTTTTCTCAAGTCAAATTCCGATCAATCCGATCACTAATCTAACTTTCACCACTAAAAGATCATTAACTTTCTCTCTTCAAAAACCCCAAAAAAAGTACTGAGTTACTCCACTCACTGTCCAATCAAAAAGGTTTTTTTTTTTTTTTTTTTTTTTTAATGGGAAAGTGTATGCATGGAGAAATGTCACTAATTCATTATTTAGGCTAAAAAAAAAAAAAAAAAAAATGTGTTTAAGTCTTTTACCCACTCCCCCAAATATCTTCTTAAATAATGGAAAAGCCGTTCACTTTCAATATGTTAAAACATTTTAAAATTGTTTAGCGGCTTAAATGAAGAACAATATTAATTAACAAATATTTATTTGCAATCAGATTGGTTAAAATTATCTTAAATGATTAAGTACTGTAGTTATATTATCTATATATTTATATAATGCTGAAGCAGCTGCTTTTCTGACGCCACGTAGGATTGATATATGATGCCATGTAGGATGTCGTTAATTGGTCCATGTTTGCTGTTTATTGGGCTTACTATAATAGGGATTATTCACATGTATTCAATACAAAATTTCACATTCCTTTTAATTTGATAAATTACTAATGATCGGTGTGTATTATTGATTTCCATGAATATTAAGAGATTGCTATAATGAAATTATTCACATACATTCAATTAATGTATTCAATACAAATCTTTCACATTCCTTTTTCATTTGATAAAGATACAACATCTTTTCACATTCATAAATTTTAATAATACACTTTATTAATCCATTAATATTCAACGTTCATTCATCATGCATATAATTATTATATTAATTAATATTATATTTGTATACCCCTTCACATTCAATTAATTATCATTAATATTAATATATCTTTACCCCTTTCACATTCAATTAAACAAAAATATCAAACATAATAACGAAAAATGCTTTTATAAAACGTATTATCATTAACATTTAATATAAATCTGAAAATTTTAAACTCATCCATAACATAAAACATTTGTATAAAAAAACCATAACCAACAACATGCAAACACTTACTAAAAATATCAAAAGTTATATTAATTAGAAATAATCCAATTACATTGAACATAACACGAACAGTTGTTGTAATCATTAATTATCATATAATATTACTAATGCAATCTAAAGCATTGAGTAGAGAATTCAAAAATCCATACACTTCAAATATTTTTTCATTTCACACAGATACCATTAACAAATGGAAGACAAACGACCAACTATTGTCAATCCAAAATCCAAACAAATAGAAGCGTGCGGTAAATAACATCAACTGATTACTCTTATATTCCTCTACATATCTACTTTTACATGTCCATTTTTTATTTTTAGTAGGTCACGCAGCAACGTCAAATGGTTCGCCTGAACTAGAAGGTATTCTACAAAACCTTAAAGTCACACTGGACAAACTCAACATTGCCAGAGTGATGAACAGAGATACAATGAATGCTTTGTTATAAAAACAGGCTCAACCCTACATGTAATATTCGATTTACAGAAACGTGAATCCTTGATTATTGCAAAGAAAATGAACTTGGTATTCTCAAGAAAAAAAATAGACAAATATATTAAACAATTCTATTATCAATAAAACGATAAAAGATTCACCTATATTATTCCCACTGAAGGATGATACTAGAAGCTAATGTAAATATGTTTATTCTACAGTTAACGCCTAATTCTACATCACTATTTTACACCTTTAATCCACTGAATGGGTTGGATTTAAATTTAAAAGTTTTTAAAAGTAGTGAAAAGTTTCTCAACAGTTGAACTTAACTTTTCTATATGTGTTGAATTATTCATTTCTTTATAATCAATGACTTAGATTTAAATATTGATTTTTTATATATGTTCCTTAAAATGACATGAGAAATAAACGTCTACAGTTGTTTTTGTTCTCAGAATGATCCAAAATTGGCTTTTTGCAGATTGGCTTTATGGCGATATGTGGGATTGGTTCCGTCCGAGTTGGAGGGTGTTGAGAGATGGAATTTAAGTGGGAATTTGTCAACAAGGCTGATTAGTAGGTAGTTTGTGGGAAGTCAAAGTCATGTGTGATGTTTCAGAGGAGAAGTTTGGAGTTCAGTGTTCATTCGAGGAAGGTTGTTTCTCAGTTGAATCTGAGGTTGTTTTTGTGGAGGAAGAAGAATCAGGGCATGTTATGAGATTCAAGATTTGATTTCAAGATTCTTGATCGTGTTAGCCTTGGCCTTGCCAGGCGGGTATATTTCATTTGTGTGAAGAATTCAAATGTTTATGGAAATTGATGGCGGTGTTTGATGTTTTGTGATTAATTGAATTGGGATTTCCTGTAGGTTGATGATGTTGTTTTTGAAGCCATTGTGAATGATTCTAACAGGTTTCATTTCTTTTTGTTTCCTCTCATATTTTTCTTAGATATGTTAGACTAAATCTTGAACTTATGATGTTTGTATGTGGAGATTGCAGCCCTTTGATAACACAAGATTTGTGCTAGAAAAATAGATAAAATGTAAGATCAATTGAGGAATGAGTAACTTCTATTGCTACTGGTAGTGCTTTTGGGAACCAGCATGGTATTGGTGATGGCATTCTAACTCCGTCAATGTTTGGTATTATTTCTTTCATACATTCATATTTTCCATGTGAAGTTATAGATTGATATGGTACGCAACATAATGGTATGGTTTTGTCCATAGATCTCCATCAAATTGGATATGATATGTTTGCTACTGCACAATGTATTAGTTCCAAGAATTGCACAACTTTCTTGACTTTGTCACATTTAATGCATGTACAGTATGTGTTTATGTGTGTGCATGTGCATGTGTGTGTGATGGGATAAATGAGTAATATCCTGTTAATTTTTTTTTTTTAATCATAAATAAACTTGATTGTTCTCAAACCCACAGCTAACATGATGGAAAGTAAAGACATATTCGAAAGGCATATTTTCTTTTATAGAGTAAAAATTGATGATTTATGTGCCAACTTAGTGTAATCTTAAAAGCACTTACTCTTTAAGTTTTCTTAATGTTCAAATGCAGTATGAATTTTTTTTTTCTTGGTGCTTTTATGCAACCAGACTAAATTTAGGAACCCATTATTTTCTTGAGTATAAACTCAAACTTCTTGCAGAAAGAGTTTTCAAATAGAAATTTTTAAGTTTTTAGTGAACTTTTGTGTAGAACTTAAGTTTGGATTAAAACATATGGGATGTTTGACAAATTGGATATTCATATTCCTATTTGGCTAATTTGACTAACCTCTTGACTTAAGGACGAACTAAGCTTCAACATCAAGCTCTTTGGAAAATCAATGATGCCATTTCATTATCAGTTTTGATATATTAATGGAGCTTGGAACTACAGTTCCCATCTTCTCTCTGTGCTTGACTAAGAGTTGTTCACCTACAAGAACAACCTATACACCACCTATTGAGCAACCGAAAGTGGTCATTCCAAGTGTAGCCAACCATTACCCACTCATAGGTGCTTATTTAACCATTGTTTGTTTATGAAATTCATTATTACTAATTTATTTTGAACGTAAATTGATTCAGTTTTGATTTATTATGCAGCCAACCTTTGGCAGTGATGGTCACAATGAGCATTGATGGGGTGACATTCGGAATAATTTATGAACACTTCTTTTTTGGCGTAGACATATGTGACCATTAAAAAAAAAAAAAAAACATTGTCCATTATTTTGTTTTTCTGTGTCTTATAAACAATGTTATATTGCAAATTGTTTATCAATGAAGCATATTTTTTATCAAAAAGTTGCAAACTTACTTCTTAGAAGGTTATACATGTTTTTTTGTGGACTTTGTAGCTAGTAATAGTTTGGGTTTGTGGCGAATAGAGTTTGTGTTGGATGATGAAGGATGACAAGTTTTATTTTATTTTATTTTTGCTCATTTCATGATGCTGGGCAGCCTTTTTAAAATGGTGAAAGATTAACTATTGGACCTCAAAGCAATGGTTATATTCCATGCAAGAACTACTAATTTTAAGAAGGGCAAAATTGTCATTTCAATTATATTATTACGTACCAAATTGTTGTAAGAAAAGTGTTGCAACTCTTCTTTTGCTTTAAAAAGGGAATATATTCCTATCACTAAAATGTTCCAGTATTATTTCGTTCTTCAATTAATTAATCAATTTGTGTCAAAACCACTTTCATAAGTTGTGGGACTTTCAACCTCTATATATTGAATTCAGTTAATTTAATTCCTGTTGAATTACAAACTGACCATTTCAATATTCCATCACTTGCATTTTATCAAATTAAAAGAGGAATGTGAAAGATCTGTACTGCATACATTAATTGCATGCATGTGAATCATCTATATTTTATCAACACCAATAAGCAGCAAATACGGGGACCAATTAACGACATCCTAAATGGCAATCATATAACGATTCTCAACAATCTTTAAACATAAAAACCTGATTAAAAAAAAAAAAAAAGAACAATAACAAAATGTCCTATTATAATCAATATTTGACATATTTTTTTATAAAATAATAATCGTTTACAATTTCTTAAAATATAAAAATTTGATAATAAAATAAAAATAATATAATAAATAAACGCGTGCAACGCGTGTGCTTTTCATCTAGTATGTGATTTAAATATCAAAACAGCATATATTTCACTAAACAATAAATGTATGATTGTCATAAATATCGATGCCAAGTAGGGATTGATGACATGGGAGAAAGTAGTTGAAATATAAATAAAAAGAGTTAGGTTGGAAATACACGGGGTTTATTTAGATACTTATATATGGGATTAGATATTTTATTTTTTAACTTAAATTAAAACACAAATTAGCAACTATTGATTAACTGCACTCTAATTAGTATTTGATAGAAGTTGGAAATGATTATTTTTATTATCACCTCATCAACTTTTAAATCATTAGGTTGTAATTAAATTAATGTTGAAAATTTATGTCAATAATTTAAGTCAAAATTTTAAATTAAAAATTATATTCTTGTATATATTTCCAAATTTTAATTGAAAATATTTAATTTTTATCTGATATTCCAACAAATCATTATTCTAAATAAAAAAATAATTATAGTATTATATAAAAAAGGACCCATGTTAAGGCTAAGGGGACGTTTGGTTGGAGGTTAAGGAAAATTACTAGGGTTATGTTATTTTATATTATTTGATTATAATGTTTGGTTGTCAAGTAATATAAGATTCTGGTAATATTGTATTACCAATAATTGTTACTATTAGTAATATTGGAGGTAATCTGATTACCTCTATTTTCTTAGGTATTGTAAGATTACCAAGGTAATCTTATTTTTGTTACAATTCTATCCCTTATTAATAAAATTTTGGACAATAATGCCCCTATTTTAAAATAAATTTATATTAATATACTATTTCAATTTTACCCTTGTTTAATTCAATTTTTGAACAATAATGCCCTTATATTTAAAACAAATTACATACCACCACTGCCACCTAGCCACCACCGCCGATAACGGGCCAACCACCATGGACCACCATTGGCAAGTCGTCGGAGTCCCTAAAAAAGATTGAGATTCTGTTGGAGGCTCTAGGAGGCTTCGATATGGACGTTTTCGGCCATATTGATGGCCGAAAACGTCCATATCGAAGCCTCGTGGTCATGGTGACTTTCAGAGACTTCCGACGATGGTTTACGGTGGCGGCAAAGAGGCGGCAGGGTGTGGAGGTGATTTCATCATAAATTAAAGTTTTATATAAGTGGGGTGTTTTAGCTAAATTTGAAATATTGAGGGTTAAAAAAATTATTCAAAAATTAATAATAAAAATAATATTATGTTAATGTTTAAAAATGGGACAATTTAGTAATTTAAATAACATACCCACAAATTTATTCTTCCTAAGCAAACATATTAATATAACATACTCATCATTTAATCAAACACATTTTCTTAAAGATTTTTAATAATAAAATAATATAAAATTCTAATAATATAATATTTTCAATAATTTAATATTTCTAAACCAAACGCTCCGACGATCAAGAAAGCGGTAATTATAATTTATAACATTGTAACCGAAATCTAGTTTTCTACTGTTTAAGTCAAAGTTAAAGAAACTGGAAAATAAAAAAAGTTGACTAAGAAAGAGAAGTCCAGTACATACTAAATGAATGATGCACCCAATTAAATTAGGACAATTAACCGTCAAAATCAGTAACGTAAACAGTTGTCACAATGCCTTGCGCTTCTCAGTCTTGACAACCGCGCCTTCTTTAAATTATAAATCATAAACCCTAAACCGCTCACACCTCCTTGCCCCCAACTTCCTCTCAAATGGAACCTCCTTTACCTCCTAATCAATTCTTCGGTATGCTTTTCTTTTTCCATTTTTAACTCCCTACGTTTGATTCATGAGTTTTTTAACACTTCAAAAGCTCTTTTAATTAGTTTTAAATGTTTTTGTTTAGATTTGTTAGTGTTTGGCTGAAGTGATTTTGAGTTAAAAAAAACGAATAGCAGAAAGAAGCCTTGATGTTACTTAAAAAGTGTTTTTAAGAATATCATTTCATCAATGCTATTTCAGAATGCACTTAAGTTTCAAGTGATTGTGTTTTCGTAGAAGCACTTACCATACAAACAAAAAAGTATTCTCTAATATTCCCCCTCTATTCCTATAACTATATTGGTTTTGCTTCTTCTCTGGTTTGAACTTATAAATGCTGTGCTGGAAATGCTGTGGTGTTGATGTTGCTGCCTTTTTTCTTTTTGGGTTCTGAATGTTCAAGGCAGTGGATTCAATATAATTGTGCGCTGAAAGAATTTTAAGTTTGATTCATGTGTAGTATGGAGAGAGTTCTTGTGGGGAGCTGTTGCTGGGGCTTTTGGGGAAGGAATGATGCATCCGGTAGACACTGTAAAAACACGAATTCAAAGTCAAGCAATTCTTAGTGGAAGTCAGGTATGAACTGTCGTTAATTTGGCTGCATGATATAGCCCTCCTCTGGATATATTGTGGAAAAAGAAAAACTTGCTGTTGTGAATGTTAAATTTTATCTCATTTTTAGGAGAATAATGCTGTGGCATTGTTAAGTTATGCTTGACCCAAAATGTTAAGCTAATATGTCACGCCCCTACAGTATTTAAGCTTTAAGAAGCTTTAATCTTAGGGATATTGCACCCGACTAAGGTGGAAGTTTACTCAAATAGTGTCTAGAATCATATTGTTTAGTCTTGCCAAAGCTCCTCTTTTTAATTTAACCGTTTGGTTCTTGATGCTTTGTGCCATTTGTTTCATTACTTTCAGAACCAAAAGAGCATATTGCAGATGGTTCGAGCAGTTTGGGTTGCTGATGGACTACGAGGTACAGGATTATCAATCTCATATATTTTTTTGTGATGATCATTAGTCCAGTTTTAATCTCTTACCCACCTCTAATCTTCTGTACAACAAGTTGTGTATTTTATATGTTTGCTGTGAACTTTCACACGATTTTGGTATATTTGATATTTAATTCTTCGTTACTTTTATCATTTGATTCTGAAAATTACAGACCCCTAATCATGTTTTTTACTTTAAATTGTGGAAATTCTTTTGGTCATTGATGTAATCCATGGTTTTGTCTGAATTGATCATCCTTGTAGGCTTTTACAGAGGTGTAGCTCCTGGGGTAACTGGATCTCTAGCCACTGGAGCAACATATTTTGGTTTCATAGAGTCCACCAAAAAGTGGATTGAAGAATCACATCCTAGTCTTGGGGGCCACTGGGCACATTTCATTTCTGGAGGTGTTGGTAAGTTGTAGAGCTCCCTAGGATTCTGTTTTTTTTTTTAACCAATTCATTGTAGTGCCACTTAAATTTGTTGTAAACATTCTATGCACACAGTGTACCAAAATAAATTGTCAAATGATTTATAATTGATACTATAGTTCTAATGCTCCGAGGACTGAGATCTTCATTATGCGAGCGACAATCATGCATAAATTACATATTATTCTTAAAAATAGGAATATTTTTGCTTTGAGATGAAAGACACAACCTTTCTCAACCATTTATTAATTCCTAAGATGTATTCTTCCTGTTATAACTTTTTGTCCTTCATTAAAGCTAAGTTGAGGGTGCAGGACGGTTTGTTGCATGTAATGCTTTTTTTGTCAGCATTCATGGCCTACTGTTGTCTTAAACGCTTGTTAATTACATCCTCTTTCTGCATAGATACCAACTGTATGCTGTAGATGATTTTGTGCTTTCTCTTTTGGTCTTCTGTTGTAGATTGGCACTAGATGTGTATAGACTATCATCACATGCCATTATACATATCAATATCCAGTGATTGATTTATAGTTGTTTTACTGTCACAAGAAGCGAGTCCTTTTTGTGTAAATGATTAGCGATTCAGTAAACTATGGACTCACCTGCCATTGGTATGTGACAAAAGACTTAACATTTTTGTTCCAATCTTGTTCTTTTGCATTTCAGGAGATACTCTTGGTTCTTTTGTATATGTCCCATGCGAAGTGATGAAGCAGCGCATGCAGGTTCAAGGCTCAAAAACATCTTGGAATTCCACTGTTGGGAAAGACATCTTAGCGAAATCTGGTTCGGAAATGTACTGTTATTACACTGGAATGTTTCAAGCTGGTAGCTCAATATGGAGGGAACAGGGGCTAAGGGGACTATATACTGGGTAAATGTCGAAACAACCACTCTAGATTTTTTAATTGGTGTTATTGTCTGATATGTGATTTACTGAAATTGAGACTGTATTATTACTGTTTGTCTGTGCCCAGGAGTCTGTATGAGTAGTTATTTTTGCTATTTTTTTTTTTGGGGGGGGGGGGCGGGGGGGGGGGGGTTTCTTTAGATGTTTAATACTGTACAGCTGACAGCTTCTAAGATTAGATATTACTATTATCACTTCCATGTAATTCCATCGTTTTGTGGTGTAATATAGCTGATGAACATGTGAGACATTTAAAAAATGATTTGCCCAATTTGCTACTTACCCTTTTTGGTGTGCATGGCTGCTTTTGAAAGGTTTCTCAAGGGTTATTGACCTGGTTTTAGGTTGGGACTGGCTGATTGTTACTTTCTTCTTATGGTTGTGGCAGATACTGGTCTACACTTGCAAGGGATGTTCCATTTGCTGGTCTCATGGTATGTACATTTTGACTTAATTCTCTGTGGTATTTGTAGATTAATATCAGTAGTTTATTTTTATTAAAACTCCTGCTTTTCCATAAAAAAGAGGGATAGGTTGCGATGCAAGTTAAAAAGTTCTGGATGCATAAAATGAGTGTTAATTGTTATCAAAATTGTCTTTGAAACATGCATATAATAGAATATTTTTGTTACGTGACCTTAGTGTGTTGCCATGTTGACGATTCGTGAGACTTTGGTTTTCTTTCCTAAGATTGCTCTAGATTTGATGTCATGCTTGTTTCATATTATACCTCTATTGGAATTTCTAGGGTAACTTTAACTTTTTACTGTCTACATCCCTTGCTCAAATATAGAAGGAACAATTATCATATGGAGAGTTGTTCTTAGCATCTCTCTTTCTCTATCACATTTTTTATTGTGTTCTCAAAAGTGGTGTATCACAATGGTCTCGAGCAGTGGGTTTCTTTTCTTTTAATCATTTTACCTTCCACTAGGAAAGTTCTTCCACAATAGGAAAATTTAATAAATCTTTGCTTTTTATATCCATATATTGATTTAAAGATGTTTACTCCTTGTAGGTTATGTTCTATGAAGCTCTGAAAGATCTGACAGAATATGGGAAGCAAAGATGGATACCCAATTTAGATCTCTATGTGAATAGTTCTGCTGAAGGACTTGTATTAGGAGGATTAGCTGGTGGTATGTGTCTTTCATCTGCTTTATTGTAAATTCTACCCTTCTAAATTGGTTCTTCTCAATTCATGATAAATGTTGCCTTCCACTTATTCATTGATTAAATTGTGCAGGTTTTGCCGCATATCTTACCACTCCATTGGATGTCATCAAAACAAGAATGCAAGTACAGGGATCAACTGTGAGGTATCACTTTCTGAGATGCATTCGTCAATAGACTTTCTCAAACTGTGCTTTGAAATAGATTCTGGGTAGAGTGTCAACTACTGGTTGAGCGTCAGAACTAGAAATTTTAGCAAAAATAACATTTCTAATATTATCGGAAACTCATAGGTACAAGGGCTGGTTGGATGCGGTTCATAGGATCTGGATGATCGAAGGCGCCAAGGGAATGTTCAGAGGAAGCATCCCCAGGATTACTTGGTATATTCCAGCCTCTGCTCTCACTTTCATGGCTGTCGAATTCCTCAGAGACCATTTTAACCAAAAATTAGAGAATGATATTACAGAAGAAGTTGCAACCTTGTCCATAGAGAAAAAAAAATCTATACGGGAAGTGGCATAGGAAAAAATCTCAATTTTGACCCAAATTGTATATCTTCTAGGAACCTTGTTAATCAACTAAGAGAACATCACTAAATGATACATTTAGATCGAGTAATTCCATCTCTTGTTTTGTTCTTTGTAGTGCAACAACTCCATTGCTTGAAATTTTCTGTCCCACCAATTGCCAATTGGTTTATTAAACTGTGAACCGGTCACCTTTCAATAAGATTTAAAAAAATTTAGGAAGTGTTAGCGGAGTTGCTGCCCAACAGCCAGCCACGTGTCTAGTGACACTGTTGGCATTCCATTGATCCAACAGTGGTAACAAAAATATTGATGGTATGGAAAGATTCGGTCAACCTTTTCTTTTTTTGGGTGAAACACCATTACAGTTGAGTTTTTCATTATCACCATTGGGTAGATTAGGGCTTCCGGCCAATCCATCTCACTTTTTTAAATATTATACAAATTGGCTTCTAGTTTTTTTATATTAATTATTATTTAATGAAAATGTTTTTCTTTTTCCTAAAGCTAAATAAACAGTTGAGTAAACGAGGAAGGTTGCATGACTTTCTTTTTCAAATTAGTACAGTTCATAATCACTGCTGGTATAAACTGGCGGTGGCAACAGTTGGTTTTTACCAGTGATTGGTGAGGCTAACTGGGGTGGGGTGGGGTAAGGTGGGTTTTAGTTAGGAGAAAGAGGAGAGTATTTTCGGGATGATGGGGAGGATTGTCGATGCCAGGTCGGTAAGATTTGATCTAGAATGTCGACATCAGCATCAATGAGATCTGGTTCAATTTCGACCAAATCTGGGTAGATTTTCTGAGGAATAGACTTAAGAGACTATTGGAATTGCAATGAAACACTCGACTAAAATAGTAAAGCACTGCATGAATTACTGTTCATACTCTTAATACAGTGCAGTCCTGATAAACAAACGCACCACTGTGATTCTCCGCCAAAGCATGCATTTTCGTTTTTCTTTTTTCTTTTAATAATCCAGAAATTCGCATTACTTGCTTTGCAAATCTTCCGTACAACATTTCTTCCAAATAAAAAGAAATCCTAACATTTCGGCATTCTGAGCTCATCAACCTCCCAAAATCCAAAACAATTTTCAATGGCATCTTCAAATCGATGACTGTACGAGGTACTGGGCCTCACCAACCGCTGTTCGCCGGACGAAATCCGCTCCGCTTACAAGAAACTAGCTCTCCAGCGCCATCCCGACAAGCTCGTCCAATCTGGTTTGACTCAGGACCAAACAACCGCACATTTCCAAGAACTCGGCTACGCTTACAATGTCCTTTCCGACCCAAAGAACGCGCCTAGTACGATTCTCACCGCTCCCAGATTCTTTTCTCCGACCTCAACTCGTTCTTTAACCTCCCCAATCTTTTCTCCCATTTCTTCAACCCCGCCTTTCCCGCATTTTCGTGGTATTCGGATTCGGCTAACGGGTTTTACAAAGTATATTCTGATCTGTTGGACAAGATTCACAAGAATGAAATCAATTTCGTCAAGAAATTAGGGCTGGGATTGGACACGGTGTGAGAGGCTCCGAAAATGGGGAATTTACAGAGTCCGGTGAAGGAAGTGAGGGCCTTTTATAAATACCGGTCTGGGTTTTGTACGGAGAGGGACTTACGATGGCCTGAGAGAGAGACGGTGGAGGAGCTGAAGAGGGAGTATAATGAGAGGGTGAGAGAAATGGCGGAGTTCGTGAGGAAGAAGGATAAGAGAGATTTACAGAAAATGGTGAATGAGGAGAGGAAGAGAATTGAGCAAGCGAAAAGATACGAGGAGTTGGAGATGGAGAAGAAAAGGAAGAAATATTATTGTGTGGTGTGCCGGAAGAAGTTTCAAAGGGAGAAGCGTGAGCAATGGAGGAAGCGTTTGCAGGATTTGGCGGAGTTCGGTCAGAGTTTCGAGGAGGAAGATGAGGAGAGGGAGGAATTGTGTGGGAGATGCATTAAAGCGACGACGGCTTGGGACGATTGTGTATTGTTGTGAGAAGGTTTTTTCGAATTGAGGAACGACGATGAGACGTTGGGTTTTGAGGAGGGAGGTTTAAGGAGGGTGGAGGGAGGGTTTAGTTGTTGAGGAAAGAGAGAGGTCGTTTTGCTGTCCAAGTGATGTCGTAACTGTCGTTTTGCAATTACGAGTTTACTTGTTAAGGTTTTGTAAATAGAGGGTTTCGATTGATATGGAATTTGGATAGAGTGAATAATCCAAGTCTCTCCCTTTTTTTTAAAAAAGTGGATTCAATTTGATTTTAAACTTGATACATATAATTTTGTAATTTGAACATAAATATTTAGTCTGATATCATCCAACATAAAAAAAAAATTGTATTTTTACAAGTAGTCATCTCGATATTTTACTAGAAAGATTCTATTTAAGTTAGAAAAAAAAAAACTAAAAAAATCATGTGAATCGATTTCATTGTTTGTAATAAATTAGTAATATGATTTTACTATATAGATTATAGAATATTGAAAGCTGAAATTTATATAATATGAGATTACCTAGATCATTTAACTTATTAGATTATCTAGGTCATGTGAATTGATGTCATTAATGATTTCATTAGGGCTTAAGGAGATTAATTTCGTAATCTTTTTTATTTTTTATTTTTTTTATAATCCAGTCATTATTTTGTTTGATTCAACAAGTAATAAAATATTTTTTCGACAATTTTTTTATTACTTAGTCAATACGAGAGGTGATATAGAGAGTTATGTAATTATTGATTCATATTGTGGTATTTTAAGATTACCGTGCTAATCTTATTTTTGTTCAAATTTTACCCTTATTTGATAAAAATTTCGGACACAAATACACTCACTTTGATGTCAAATAACAATTAATTCAACTTGTTGAATAATTTCTTTAACCTCATTAATTAATTATTTAGACAAAAATGTCATATATATATAATTTTGTAAAAGGCATTTCAATAAAAGAATATTTAAGTGTTTTGTAATTGTTGTCAACCAAACACATTAATTATTTATATAACCCACACGAATCAAACACAATAATAGTTTATTTTCATTAATTTTCAAGGTTACCTATCTCATTGATAATTTTATATTTTTTATCAAAAAACATTATCAGAACCAAACGCCCCCTAAGAGTAATTAAGTTAACTGCTATGATTATATATATGTTGTGTGTGGCTTTTTAGTCAAGGTTGGGCCAACGCAAGGATATAGCTTGACCCATAATGAGCTCGACAACAATGATTGATCGACCCAACATAAGCTCGTTGAACCGAAGCTTGACCCAACATAAGCTAGTTGTGAATAGTTCAAATAATCATTCAATCAACCTCCAGATTATTTCAGATCTCTAATATTACGGGAATGACTAGATCAACCGTAACACTACGCAATACAGAGACCAATCGCTAGAATATCGAAATTGCAATTCAGATCAATTGTAATTCCCTTAATTTTGCTTTTTGCTTTTTTATTTTTTATTTTTTTTGTACAAATCTTGTATATAAACCCTCTCAAACGATGAGGAAGGGGTTACAAATTTCAAATAGGAACTATATTGTAAGCTCTCACAGCAAATACAAAAACAGTAGACGTAAGCTTCAGAGTTAACCTCGCCGAACCACTTTAAAACTCTCATTGTCTTTACTTTATTGCATTTTTTACATACATTGCTAATTATTCTTAATCACGCACACATCAGTTCTAATCTCGACAATGTCGATCGGATTTCATTGGTTAGTATTGTATCAGCAATATATATATATGCATTAAGATGAGTATTCAAAAGAATTATCCAAGTACTACATTCTTATGCACTTAAAACTCTTGTGTTTTTTTATCTTTTATTTTTAAAAATATTTATTTAAAAAAAATTAGAATTTTTTTTTAATTATAATGTTTTAAACTTGTGTCCTCTCACTGAAATTATCCCTTTACTAAATAAACCGAGTTTGGACTTTGGTAGTACAAGGAACAGTAGCTTTTAACGGTGACGGTAACTGCAGCATTTTTAAACCGACTATTCCGTAGAATCCGTCTTCCTCAACCCTAAAATTTACAACAAAGCCCAACTCCTGTCTCCTCTTCAGCATCCTGAGCTGAAAATCCTCAAAAATAAAATCAATGGCATCTGAAAAACGATGCCTCTACGAGGTACTCGGCCTGAGCAAGGACTGCTCGCCGGACGAAATCCGATCGACCTACAAGAAGCTAGCCCTCCAGCGCCACCCCGACAAGCTCGTCCAATCCGGCTTGACTCACGAACAAGCTACCGCTCAGTTCCAAGAACTCGTTCACGCTTACGAGGTTCTCTCCGACCCCAAAGAACGCGCCTGGTACGATTCTCACCGCTCTCAGATTCTTTTCTCCGACCTCAATTCGTCGTCGAACTCCGGTCCCAACTCCGTTGTCCCTAATCTCTTCTCTTATTTCTCAAACACCGCCTTTTCCGGGTATTCGGATTCGGGTAAAGGTTTTTATAAGGTTTATTCGGATTTGTTTGATAAGATTTATAGGAATGAGGTCAATTTTGTTAAGAGATTAGGTTTGGGATTGGATATGGTGCGCGAGGCGCCGATAATGGGGAATCTGGAGTGTCCGTACAGTCAGGTGACGGCGTTTTATAATTATTGGTTAGGGTTTAGTACGGTGATGGATTTCTGTTGGGTCGACCAATATGATGTTATGGCAGGACCGAATAGAAAATCTAGGAGGATGATGGAGGAGGAGAATAAGAAGTTGAGGAAGAAGGCAAAGAGAGAGTACAACGAGACGGTGAGAGGTCTGGCTGAGTTTGTGAAGAAGAGGGATAAGAGAGTGATTGATATGGTGGTGAAGAAGAATGAGGAGAGGGAGAGGAAGAGGAAGGAGGAGAGAGAGAGGAAGAAGAAGTTGGAAAGGGAGAGAATGGAGCGAGCGAGTAGATATGAGGAGCCGGAGTGGGCAAGAATAGATGACGAAGGTGAAAATGATGTTGGGTTTGAGGAGGAAGTAGAGGAGGAGAATGAGAAGAAGATAAATGAGTTTTATTGTGTGGCGTGTGGAAAGAAGTTTAAGAGTGAGAAGCAATGGAAGAATCATGAGCAGTCGAAGAAGCATAAGGAGAAAGTGGCAGAGTTGCGTGAGAGTTTTGCGGATGAGGACGAGGATGATGAGAGGAATGGTTTTGAGGAAGTGGATGGTGAGATAGAGGAGTTAGGAGATAGGTTTAAGGAGGGTTTAGGAGTTGAGGAAAGAGAGGTCGAAAATGGGGTTGGTGGATTGAGTGGTGATGACGATGAGGAAAATGAGTTTTTTGATGTTGAGGATAGTGACATTGCTGAGGGATTTCAGGATGCGGATGATGACGAGAATGAGGATGAAGAAATGAGTATGCTTAAAGCTATGGTTTCAGGACATAAGACTAGGAAGAAGGTGGCTTCGAAGCAAGAGGATGAGGTTTCGGAACCTCAGGTTCACGTCGAGAACATGATTGCTGAGGATGAGGTTATGGAATATGATAACCGCAAGAGCACAAGAAGGAAAAACAAGAAAGAGAGAGGTAGAAAGAGCACAGGAGAAGCTACAAAGAGTGGTAAAAATGAAAGGAAGGGTGAGAATGAGGAAGCTAATGCCCATGATTATTCACATATGGGGGAGGAGTCCTCTTCCCAGCCTTTTGTGGAAATTGTGAACAATGGTACAAGGGATGATCAGTCAGGAACAAATTTCAATATGTCAAACCAACCAGTTGATGGAAATGGGACCGTAAAGGACAAAAAAGCCAAATCGAAAAACCCTTCCAAAGGAAAGAAATCAAAGGTAATATCATTAGTTAGATTTTTTGCCCCTTCCACTATGTTCAAACATTTGATAATCCACATTTACAATTATTGTTTTGCTGAATGCCTTAAATATTTTGACTTCCATATTTTGTTAGATCAACTGCTAATTTGTTGTTTTATAGTTCTACTTTAGATAGATTTAATGAAAGAGGAATTTTTGTATTTCATGAACTTTAGATGGTTCTAGGACCAAAGAATAAATCTAAGTAGTTGAAATATGGCATAATCGATTTTGTTATACACATTGCCACAATCTGCCTCTTGGTGTGGATTTGGTCATCAGTGAATTCTAAGTGCATTGGAATAATGCAATAGACTGTTTCTGAAAGAGTAAAAAAGGAAGGAAAAGGTATAAAACAGAGAAGAGAAAATTTTCTCCTAACATTAAAAAATGTTTTATAGAAAAATCTAAAAATCTGAAGAAAGACAAAAGTGAGTAGTCTTAACTCTTAACTGTACATTACTTTAGAAAATATATATCCCGTGGACATGCATTTTAATTTGTGCAAGGAAACCATAATAAGCATAATAGTTACTGTCTCTAGCTTTGTACTAAGCTGATTCTGGCACTGCCCAGCAATTGCCAAATTTCAATTTTAGGTTGTTCTTGCTTTCTAGCTTGTGGAGGCCCAACTGCAAGAGAGAGCTGAAATATGGATATTATTGTTTCATATATTGTGCTGTTACTATATGTCCATTACAATGGTAGTTTTTTCGCCCTTGTCTAATTTTCGGAATATGTATTGTAACACAGGCAACATCAAAGAATTCTGGCAATTCGTGTGAAAAATGTGGAGAGGAATTCGAATCAAGGTCAGTTCTCTGCTTTTGAAATTTTTGCATATATTGGAAATAAGAAAGATATCTTATCGTTGCTATTGTCGTGGCAGGAATAAATTACATAAGCATTTAAGTGACACGGGTCACGCCTTGTTGAAGTTCAGATGAGATTTCCCAATTTTTACATCTACACTGTAAAATTAGATAATGGATTGTATTCCAAAGTTTTGTTGGGAAATTTTTTTTCTCAATTTTATTGCACGGAATTACATGTGGATTAGGGTTTGATTCAGTGCAAAAGGTGCTGACAGTGGGGAATTCAGAGAGTCGTTACAGTAAAATGATGTCATTTTATAATTACTGGTTAGGGTTTTGTAACGAGCAGGTCGGTTCCGGTGAAGATGAATGAGGATAGAAAGAAGTTGCAATTGAAATGTATAAAGAAAGAATGGATCAACTGAATTTATAGTCTTGTGGACAGGATTTGAGTTGATATGTAATAAGACTATGTGAAGTAATGTAACTAATTTATATGTTTACAACTTTTAATTCTTTATGTTATGTTATTTTATTTGATTTTTATTTAATCAATTGAAAATATGGAAAATGATAATTTCTTGTTTTTAATTTAATCTGATAGCATGAAAAATGGGATTAAGGATTTATTATGTGACTTTTAACTTAACAAAGTCTAGTAGGTTTTAAATGAATTGATTTCAACTATAGGTGATCAATTTATTTCAATCCTAAATATTTTGTTAAATTTGATTCTTTGAATTTACTAATTTAATTGGTGATTGATTCCTGCATACAGGCCAGAGCAGCTACATTAACATGACTTGAGAGAGAATCCCCAATTAAAATTAATAGATAATTTTTTAAAATTTAATTGATTATATGTTAATATTTAAATTTTATAATATTAATGTTTATTGGCTCATGACGCTTTATTGGTATTCCAAAATTAAAATATTAATTGTTGAAACCTTTTTATTTTTGGAAAACATAGTCGAAAATTGAAATGAGAATCACACCCCAATGTCATATATATAATATTAATGTTTGATACATTCATTTTTTAACCTCTAAAGCATATATGAAGTCATGCTAATTTATATTTTTCATAACATAATGAATAGTCAAATTTAGTTAAATCAATAATTCGGTAAAAAAAAAAAATAGTTAAAATAATTTCTTTTTCTTTTACATGGAAATAACTAAGTCATTTTAAATTCATTTTTTAAGATATATTCTGCAATATTAATTGCATAAAAAATTACAATTTTTTTCTGATCTTACCATAAACAATATTTTGGTTTGACAATTACTTTGTTGTAATTTATAAAATTGATAACTCATAGAAATACATGGTCATTAAATAAAATGTATTCTATTAAGGTGATATAATGATTCCGGTGAAAGATGAACAAGGGGAGAGAGAAGCTGAAATTGAAATCGTAAAGAGAAAGAATGGAGCATGGAAGGAGAAAAGAAATTTCTTGCATATTTTTCAGCATCCAAACGGACCTTATTTGAAATAACAGTGACTCTCCATGACATCTGTTTTTCATCTCAGTTAGTGTAGAATCAATTCACTTGATTATTCATTTTGTTAAATCTGTTTTTTATATCGACTGATTCATATTTATATTTATATCTGATTTATTCATTAGGAAGACAAGTTTGATTGGTTTCTAGGGTTTTTGAGCTCTAAAACCAATAGCTTAATAATTCAGAAGTCATGTTTTAATACATTGAGTTTAATGATTAATCGTAAATCTCTTTACAATTTTATTCATAATATGATGAGTTACAAAATAATTATATCACATCAGTTGGTACATGTAACACCTCTTTAATTCATTCTTATTTGAGTTGATATAATAAACATTATATGTGAAGTAATTTAAATTAAATAAGTGGATCAGTTTATTGCGATCCTAACTATTTTGGTCAATTTGATTCTTTGAATGTATTAATATAATAGCTATTTAATTGGCAATAAAGATGGGCGTACAAGTCACATCCTAATATTATACACTTTTTCTCATAATCTTTACATGATAGTTTGTAATTAGTGAGATTAGATTGTAAGTGTAGTATTACTCAAACTAACGTATTATTTATTTGTCTTTTGTTTCCAAATTTAAAATCTTAATTGTAGAAGTTTTTTTTGTGGGTGTCCGAGCTAGCTTGGACGTATCTCAACTAATCCTCGGAACCCTAAGTTAACAGTTGGTTAAACCTTTAATGACCACCCTTATTAGCAATTGAGGTGAATTGAACTTAAGATCTCTTGGGTAATAACCTAAGAATCCCAATTCAACCAAGAGTGATTTAACTGTAGAAGTTTTCTTTCTTTATTTTGTGAAAAAGATACTTGAAAATCGAAAATTAAATAACGACAATATTTGACATGACACACCATAATGTCATCTAATATTCATTGATACATTCATTTTGTTTTAATCAAATTTAGTTAAAACAAATAAGATATTAGAGAAAACCATATGCAGAGGTAGAGAGCAAGATACTTCCCTTCTCATCCATTTTCAATTAATAATACCTTAAAAAATAGTTAAAATAATTTTTTTAATAATTAATAAAGTATAATTAAGAGAAAGAATACATTTTATAAGATATATTCTACATTATATTTTTTTTTTTAATCACTGAGGTGTCTAGATCAATTTACATGCACTTTGACATATCATGCTTACATAAAAAAATAAAAATTTGTTTTGACCATCAATGAATTGCATATCAATAATATTTACATTTCTTCTTATATATAAATTAATAATATTTAGTTATAGGAATATAAAGTGAGGAGGAATATAATATTAAAGATACAATAATACTATACTTACAAAAAAATCTTACAAAGATTTTCATACAAAGTGAGGTAACAAAAAATAAATGGAAAAGTGAAATAAAAAGTTAAACTCATTATATTCACCCTTCCATTCATTTTTTGACACATCACTTTGTATGTAGATATTTGTAAGTGTAGTATTATTCTTAAAGATATAACAAAGTTAAAATCATAGACCATGATAGTGTAGGATGCGTTTGGTTTATTATTTTGGATAAGATTTTGGGGATAGTATTGGATAGTTGGATAAGAGAGTATTACGAGATAAAATTTAAAAATTTATGAAAAAGCCTCCAAGGTTTGCTAATTTAATAAACACCCTAATATATTAAAATATTATAAAATGACAAAAACCAAACCACCCGCAGTGCCAGATTCCAGCCACCACTGTCGGAATCTGGCCGAAAAATTGAATAACCATACATACCGGTCGGATCTAGCAGGTATTCGATCGATATGGCCTTTTCCAGCCATATCCACCACGGATCTGGCCGGAAAAGGCCAGATCTAAGGTCGCATGTTGCCTTCGACGGTCAAAAAAGGTCATCTTTGGCCGTCAGCGACGGCCAAAGATATGGCCATCAGCGATGGCCAAAGATATGACATTTTCCGATCAGATCCACGATGGATCTGGCCGAAAAAGGCCAGATCTGGCCATTACCGGCCATTTCCGTTGGTCATGTGACTGTTGTGACAGATTCCAGCTACCACCGGTGGTGGTTACCAGAATCTGGCAAGTATTGGTGGGTGGGGGTGTTTTTGTTAGTTTTTAAACTTTTTTCTGAGGGGTATTTAATGAAATTAATAAACTTGTGGGGTCTAAAAGTAATTAACAAAAATAGACTAATATTTTGAGAATAACGTGCCAAACAACATTTGAAGAATATGATTGAGAATATGGATAAAAACAATAAGCCAAACACACCCGTAAATATTTGTTTTATCTATATTAAACAAAGGGAAATATTTATATGTGTCTTTTTATGTAACTTATTTAATAATATTTTATTTATGTGAAAAATATAGAAGATTTGTTTTTTAAATTGAGAAAGGCTGATGTTTATGAATACCATAAAATACATATTAGAGCACAAATACACAACATTTGATGTTATTGAGTTGAATAAATGTATAAACTGACTCACAAAATTTGAATTTTAACTTAAATGAAAGTTTGATTTAAATGAATTAATGTAAATTATGTCGTAATTTGTATATGGCTGGTTAGAAAATGTTTGAAGTTATAGAAAGTAATTCAACTCCATTTTTTTTTTTTTTTAAATAATTGGATCAATTTGATTTTAATCTATACAATATATATTTTTGTAAATATGAATCTATTATTCCCATCCCTACATTAATTGTGATGAAGATTTTTTTATTTTTAATTACATATTCGGCCTTCTTTTATAAAAGAAAGGGAAACTATAAGAATGGGTTGCATGATAAAAGAACATAAAAACGAGAATTATGATTACACAATAATCATATGACATATTATATACCAATTTCATGCCCCCGTTGGATTTTGTTTCTTTTAAACCTTATATAACCCTGTTACGCCTAAAAATATAAGGGCTGACGTCAGGACCCTTTAGCCCGCAAAAGTCAGATCATTGGAACAGCCACCGCTGCGTATGTCAGGATAGTGGGCGCGCGTCAGGCTACTCAGGAGGCGGTGGTGCTCCCACGTGTCCAATCCCTGCTCTAAATCGCACAAATCACTCTGGAAGGTGGGCAATGTGACATAAAAAAAGATTTGCACGGATAATCCCACAAACTCGTAGATTTAGTGATGATTGCCTCAAGACATCTGACTATAAATTAAGAATTCATCTCTCATTAGGGGGATTCGCACATTTTTCACTAGATTAATTACTCTCTCTTTTCTTAACGATTGATACCTTGTAACATCATTATAAAGTTAGTCAGCTAATAGCGACCTGACTTCTATCATCAATACAAGCATCAGTGGACGTAGGACTTGCTACCTTAGCACTCGAACCACTTAAAAAAATGTCTCCACTGCATTTACTATCTCTTATCTATTACTATCACGTGTGATTTCGGGGCCCCCCCACAGCATTTCACACATGTGTTTTGTTGGTGCAAAATCCCGCATCAACAGTTTGGCGCTAGAAGGAGGGCCTGATTTAGTGTCATCCTTCATCAGGAGAGTCTCCAACCTACAGGTCCAACAGCAACGAATGGCCCGCCAACCAGAACATGAGCAAACCAACCAAGGCACTCAGGGTTCCCCCAAGTTCAGGGGGATACCTCTTCCAAAAAACCTTCAGCCCAGCAGAATGCTATGGGAGATATCCTGTCAAGCTCACAGCTTGACCCCGCTATAAGAAGCTACCTGGAGAGGTTTGACAATACTCTCCAGACGGTCAACCAAAGGTTGGACCGTTTGGACCAAGGCACGCCATCCAAGTCAGC